GCGAGCAAGTGTGCATACGAAATTTGTCGCCAAAATCATACAAACACCAGCCAACATCTCCCTTCCCCCAAACAGTGATGTCATTTTCGACCAATAGAGGGATCCGGCCCAAGTAAGAAGTAATCGCTCGTCTGGCTGCGGTCAGTAATCGGGTGGGTGACCACTTTGATCAGCCTGTGTAGGGAGCGACGATGCGAGGTTGTCTTCGTTAAGCTGTTCTACCGTTAACAGGGGTCTGTCTTGGTTTTTCTGTGAGGTACCTATTTTGTGAAAATTTATACATAATTTGTGAAAATTAAAAATTATATTAAAAAATCGACACAAAAATATGGTAAATTCTATATATTTTGCCCCATATATTCTAAAATAATTTTGCTATTGTAAAATCTTGGACTTGAAATTGTACCTAAATTTAAAAATCCATAAAAATCCTTGTCCATAGTATAAATACATGCATTTAACTGTACTAGCACTAAAAGTTATTTTCATAATGAGAACTTTTTCGACTAGGTCATACAAAAAAAAATTTCACAGCAGAAAAAAATTTTCATAAAAAATAAAGGTCTGTTAGAATAAATTTACCATAGTGTTNCAAAAAATAAGCACCTTTTAAGTACTTTTTAAGCACTCAAAATATATTTTTATCACTTTCCGAATAAATAAAAAAATCATAATTAGGATCTGTGCAGCAATGAAAATTCTTTTTTTCTGTCGTTGAAAGTTCTTAACTTACAAATATAAAATCAATAAAATTCTACAACATTTTCATAAGCTTTACATAATCATGATTAAATAACTAGTTTCCGATAAATATTGCAGAGAAAATTGTGAAAGTCATGCATTTTTTTGTAATTCAGAACGGCAATCGGTAAGGCAAAGAGAACAATCTTTTTTTAAAAGATAGAAAATTAAGCTCTTTTTTTAATTAAAAAAGCACCTTTAAAGGCTTTTTAAAAACGTTAATCAAAAATAAGCACCTTTAAAAACATTACGCACCCTGTATAATAGTAATTAATTTTATTTGTGTTTTTTTATATAAAAGAAAGAGAGAGAGAAAAGGAAGTTTTGAAATTATGCTGAATGGCCAAATTTAATTTGCCGAATATGTACAAGCTTTGGGAGGTCACAGTGACCTCCCACCCTGACTCTCCTGACCATTTGGTTCATAACTCAGCAAATGGAAGGGGAGAAAATGAGATGACATAAAAAACGAGCTATATTGCTTTATTCACATTAAATTACATAAATATTGAAATATCACATTTGCATGAACATAGATTTCTTTGAAATCTTGCAATAAATAATATGGCATTAAAGAAAATCAATGGTTTCATTAGTTCTAAAAATCAGGTTTGTTATTTTTCAACATTGAAAATTAGACATAAATAAATCTTTTAATTTCTGTTTGACTACAATTCACACAATACAAATAAATAAAATATGTCACATATTTTGACAGACATTACAGAAGCGATAGTGAATATGAAGATTGTAAGTTTGTACAAAATCACACACATGTTTAGAAATGAAATTATTATACAAAACTATACATGTTGTATAAAAATTAAATTTGTTCAGATTCGGTTATTGGTTTTTTTTTTTAAAGATACAAAATTAATCTGTTTTAATTTAGAAAGAAAGGAAAATATATATATATTATCTGGAAAGAAAGCATAAAATCATTCATGTCTGGAAAAAAAAGGGATTGGCAATTACAATTCAGACAACGTCTCTAAATTCATTTATTATAAATATGAGAATTTAATTGTAAAAAAAATTATTGAGAATTACAAGATATCATAAGTTGTTAAACCTTTTTTGGATACCATGAATTTACCAAAATTAGTGAAATTTTTTGTTCTATAGTTAAAGTGTTTTTTTATTTTGTGTAAATTTCATTAACATTAAATCGGAAGAAAATATTAGTTTTATAAAATGTACACTTACATTCGAATGTGAATTTTAATTATTAAAGAAAATTTATTCTGTTCTCAATAAAATTTTAATTTTATAATTAAACAAAGAGTAAACTTTTTATACTTTTTCCTGTTCAGTTATTTTTTAAATACTTAAGTTTTGAATTTTTTTTTATTATTAACCTAATTTTGAACAAAATTTGCCATTTCAATTATTTTTTTCTTTTCCTTATCTATCTAATTAATCTGAGAGCTAAAAATAACTTCACATAAATGATGGAAAACTACAAATTTAGTAGATTATTTCTGCCAAATGTGTTTTTGCTAAAATATTTTACGTTATTTTCTTTCATACATTTTAATTTTTATGAATGAGCAAAAAAATTTTTTGACTCTTAAAATAAAATGTAACGTTTTCATTTATTTTAGCGAAAAATATTTGAATAATGAATTTTTCTTTTAAAAAAATATATAAATATCTACGAGGTAAAAATACGACATCGAAGATATGGTAAAACTAACAATAATAAGAAACAATTTCTGCCGAAACCTGTATCAAATTACTTTTTATTTAAATAGTATTATAGTTGAAACTTAATGGCTACAAAATTATTATATCTAAGTAAATGGTAATGCAGAAATAAAAAAGACGAAATTATTGTTGTCACTTCTATGTTTAAGCTATTCCAAAGAATTTATTCCTTGGTTATTTGGCACGTGTATTTAATTAACGAAACAATTTTAAATCATTAACAAAAATAAAAATATGTATTCCCATCGTATTTGATTTGGATTACTTTTTCAAAGATGGAAGCTGATAGGAAAGTCTTTGAAACAAAAATTATAAATCAATAGATAGACCGAAAGATATTAGGTCACCAGACATTGAATTTGTGAGTTGGATATATCGATTATAACAGCTTATTGTTTGACAGTGGAATAATTTTGATAGAAAACATAGGTTTTTGGTTAAAAATTGTGAGAAGTTCTCTTAAGTGACGCCACTGGACTTCGCAGGTTCGTGGGCAAAACATTATGCATGGCCCTTTTAATTCTTTCTTTATGCTTACCAAATTATTTTTGACTAAATTATCGAAAAATTTTACAGGATTTATATATTTATTAATAATTAGATTTTTATTCTTAAAAAAAGAGTATTTTATTATTTTATTTTATTTTTAAATTTATATTATGGATCAAGTTTTATTAATTATTTATCAGGCTTGAAACACATAAAATAGAAATGATAATTTTTCTTTGTTTAAAAGGTCGAACTTAAATATTCATCTAAAAATGATCCATTTCTAACTCTATTGCTTTTGATTTTTATGAATAGGTTTCTGAATGTGGGGCCTTTGGAAACATGAAAACCACGGGAATTAAGAGTTATGTCTAGGTGGTTACCTATGTGCATCAAACAGAAAACCAATTTTTAAATTTTAAAAATAATTTTTAAAAAAAATCTGAAATTTTTTCAGTGTTAAAACATTTTTTAATATAACTGATGCGGGGCCCTCCTTAATATGCTCCGTGCTCAGCCTTTAAGAATAGATTACAGTAGCATTATATTACTATCATTTACCCACTCTTGCAGAAAATTTCAAACACCATTTTGCTTAAATGTGGCTGAATTTAGTTGATGCAGGTATCAATTTTATTCTCTGAAACTTGGATGATTTTGAGTTTATTAGCATAAACATCAGACTTAAAATAAATAATGAAAAAAAACAAAAAAAAAAAAACAGTGCTACAGCGTGAAATCGCATGATCTGGATGGCCAATACTGATCGCTAAAATGGCAAACTACGCGACCAGCAAATGGCACTGTGATAAAAATATTACAAAACACAAAAAACGAGGTGTTTTGCGTAGTACTACATTCGTAATTATCCCGTACTATCACTTGTTTCTCAGCCACTTTTAACAATTATGTACTATCACCTGTCATTAAGCCATTATTAATAATCCTGTACCCATGATTCTGCTCAGCGACCAACCACAAAATTTTATGGGCGTGTTATTGTGGGCCTTAGCGGAGTCGGGGATCGAACCCCGCCCCTCGGGAACGGAATACAATTGTCTAAAAATACTAATAATGTGACTCAGGCATTTTTAACAATACTGTACTATCACCTGTCACTCAGACATTTTTAATAATTCAGTACTGTCTGTCACTAAGAATTATTAATAATCCTGCACTTTCCTCTGTCATTCAGCCATTTCAACCAATTCTGTACTACCAATCAGACATTTTTAATAATCCTGTATTTTCCCCTGTCATTCAGCCATTTTAACCAATTCTGTACTATCAATCAGACATTTTTAATAATCCTGTACTATCATCTATCGACAGTCAGCCATTTTTTAATAATCCTGTACCGTCGGTCACTAAGCCATTATTAAAAATCCTGTACTATCACATGTCACTCAGAGATTTTTAACAATTCTGTACTATCGTCTGTCACTCAATTATTTTTAATAATCCTTTACTGTCTGTCACTCAGCCACATTTTAGTAGCATTTCATAGCACAAAAAGAGCAAAATTCAAATTTCGCGTGATTTTTTGGACATCCTTTATATTGAATTCTTTGTTTTCTTCTTTTTTTTTTGAAATTTGAAGGTTTTTTGCACAAAAACAGTAATTTTTTTTTAATAGTTTATTTTGGAAATAGCAGGTAAAACTTTAAATGGTGCATATTATCATACAAAATTGATAAAACTCTGCAGTATTTCCTAATTAGTACTATAGAAAAATGGATTTTTAAAAATAGGAAAATAATAGATTTCCTCACGTTTTCGAATAATTTATAGTTTGAAAACCAAAGACAAATCTACATAAGTTTTATTTTACATAAAATTGGTACGCAAATTCACACTTTTTTTTCCTCTATAAGTTGAAAATATTTATTATAAAAAGTTAACTTTTGAAAAGGTGGGAAAAAATTTAAACTTATTCATAATTTCATGAAAAATTGAGTAAAATGCAGAGAATTTTCCACAGGAAATATCATTTTGAATAAAAATCCTTAATAAGTACACCAATGAAGATATAATCAAAATTGAATTATTTTTTTCATCCTAAATACCAAGAATTCGAGAGAAATTTTATTTTGTTAAGTTCTCACTACGAAGGTGCTTGTGCATCAATCGTGGTTTCGTCAACATTATAGTTTCTTGCTGCAAAATTGGACTGTCTGGTAAAACTAGATATTTGATCAATTGATTGGCGAACCTGTAAAATAAAGAAGTAGTGAAGTAACAGTATAATTTATTAATTGTTATGTTACAGAATGCATTTAAATTCGGTTTATGATAATTCTGATAATTAGTATTAAGTAACAGTATAATTTCTTGAGTATCACAGATTGCAATTTCATTCGATATATAAAATAATTTTGTTCATCAATGATAAGTAAAAGTATAGCTTCGTAGAATGCAATTGAATTCAAGTTAGAATTTTGTTCATTGATGTTGATTTTGCACCTACTTTTGCTATAACCAAAGTTGCTAGCACTTGTTGAAGCAAGAAAAATTGTAAATTGGCACTGATGTACCATTTATAATGCACCTTTTCCCCCTTCATCACTTAGTTTTCACCTCTTAATCACTTAATCCAGCTGTATCAATTAGTGTTTATAAAAAAAATTAATTCGCTCTTGATTATTCAACTTTCATAGTCTTTTGTACCGAACACAGGGGTTCGTTTCGATTGGAGATGAATGAAACAATCCTTAAGACTTCAAAAATCTATTAGCAGAATTTTCCCGAGAATACACCTATTTATAGCACTCTATTACAACTCAAATAACAGTGTAACAGTGAGGTCTCAAAACACAGGCTTTGAGACCTCAGACGGTTCAAACTCACTAGAGATTCGCAAATCAGATCACTATTGCAGTCACAAGCAGACTATAGCAAACAGACTCCTATTTATATAGACTTGGTGACGAAACATCAGAACTTTCGACGCGATTCTCGACGATTCACGATGAATATTGTTCCTTTCGCTCTGAAACTCGAAAATTTTCCGAACAATCATTTTGTCGCCACAATNAAAGAAAACAGTGAAATTGATAGTGAGATTAATTACAAGAAATATTTATACTACAAATAGCTTCATAGTTTTCATGATACTACTATGATAACCAAGTGAAGGAAATTAACATTGTCAAAAGTAAATCTTTTGAAATTATTTATAAATAAATTTGCAAGGTATAAATATGTAAATAAATTTGCAATGTTTACTAATAGAAAAAAAAATGATTTAATGCTATTTTAATAAAATGTTAGTCACGTTTTTTCAAATGAGTCATTTAGCAATTGACCAATGTTTTTTATATATATTTTTCAGGATCATAAATTATAGTTTAATAATTTTTAAAGCTAAATTATTTTCGTCAACAAATTTTTTTCTCCCAGGTTTTTCGTAGGTCCTAGGCACGAGCCTAGTGTGCCTATAGGTTAATCCGGCCCTGGATGTAGTATGTTGTGTTGAAGAAAAAGTCTGGATAAAATCTTTAGTCAATTCAGGTGCGTGTAATTGTGTTAATTTTAAAGTTATATGCAATTACGAGCTTGTAAGATTAAAGTTGTAGTTAAGAATAGAAAAGGTAAAGGGTTTAGAGAGTAAAAGTTTTTACCTGCCCTAAGTCATTCAGCCTATTTTTTAGAGTTGTTGTTATCCTTAATATTTCCTTTTCTACAGCCTCTTGCTGCAATTTCAGCAACTCCAAGTAGTTGGACATCCTAGGTTTATGAAAGTATTTTCTATTAATCCTGTGGCAACATTTACAAATATGCTTTGCACGGAGCGTCACAATAGTAAGTAACTTTTAAAAAAGCAAGTTTCGTTAACGCTGTATATGGAAGCTCAGTCATTAAGGAAAATAAAAAAAGTTTAGCCATAGTTTAAGCGCCTTACACTCGAAGCAATGAGATGATTTTAAATTATATATATAATCTTGCCTTGAAATTATCTGGGCTTTAGAACAGACAAATAATTAAAATATTTTAAAAGTTATTCAACTTTTTAAAAAATCGCCAATTTTGCGACATTTTTTCACCTAGATGAAAATTATCAAAATCACTGCCTTATTCTCAGTTTTTGAACATTTTTATGAGCCCAAGTAATGCAGCATTGGAGGTAAGTTTTTAAATATTAAAAAATTAGACCACAACCCTATTTCATTTGCGCAAAACTGTGGCTTTTCTCCATATTGGCGTTTTGCGCCATTTTCGAAATAAATATCGACAGCGCTGGCTTTAGATTGGCTAAACTTGATTTAAAAGTCATGAGTAACATTCGCAAACTCAAAACAGTTTTTAAAATGGCATATTATTCGCAAAAAAGCCTCATTTCACATGGCGACGGAGCTTTCGAAAAACAGCTTTAACTATTTAAAATTAAATAAATAAAATAAAGGTCGTTCCGTTATTACCACGCTTAGGGTAACGCCATTTTGCATTTTCAGAGTTGTCAAAAGTAAAATCAAACAAACAGGACAATATGAACTTGCAAATTAATAATAAAGTGAGGGAAAAAAAGAACGTTACCGCACTCTGACGAATCAATGTAGAAGAATGCGTGATTCAAACCATAATAACCTGTTTGATTTGTAGAGTGAGACGAGCTCTTTGCTTTCGCTTACAGCTCTGTACGGTTTATTTTTGATGAAACTTGAAGATGCTTTGAACGGTCACTTTTCACTTTCCTTCAGTTTACTCCGGCAATTAAACAGATTTAAGTGCTTTTAACCTCATTAATGATTCGTCAGGGCATTTTTTCTCTCTCTTTTTTCGTCTGTTGAGTACAGTTTTTTGAAAAGTTTTGGAAAACATACAACTTTACGCATGGTAATTGCGGAACAGCCATCAAAACATTTATCATATCAAAGCAATGTAGATCATAAAATGCGGTCGAACCTTTGAGATTTTGATGTCCAGTTATCTTCTGAAAGAACTCTGTTATGATACATAGAAACTCTGTAGACTAGAATTGTTGCCAATAGGAAAAGAATCACTAATCTACGTAACAAAAAGAAACATTGACATTCAAACTAAATAATAATATCATCGTCAGGGTTTCTACGAGTTCCACAAATATTTAGTGGTGGTAGTAATTTTTTGTTAATCCAAATACGAACCTTCTTTTTAAAATATCATTTTAATGTTTAGAGAACTGACATTTCTAATACCGACGTACACTATCGATCTGGCTAAAAGCATTCAGACACCAAACTAAAGTTCGTTGTATGGTTTTTTTAATGATTTTGCTTCGGTCATGCTTTTGTGGTTTTGAATTTTTTTCTTTTTTTAGTAACCGGTGCTGAACAGCCGACCCAATTCTGAGTTAACGACTATCAATGTTCAGCTTCGAAGCTTTATAAATTTGAACTTAACCCAGAGGACAAGGGAACTTCTTTATCAAACATTGGGACAAACCAGGTATCGTGGAGGACTTTTTGATGGGAATAACTCGCATTTGCGTTACATGGAAGAGAAAATCAGGAAAACGTTCCACGGTAAATTCGACGGCAAGGAGGCTCTAGTTCATGATTCGTCTACCATTGAGGATGTTTTACGTCAGCACTGTGGTCGGTCAGAACCTGGAGTAGAATTCGTATCAGCCAATCACCACTGGGATTCGAACCTATGTTTCGAAATAGCATCCGCCTACATTACACTACTGAACTCGGCAGCAAAAGTTCCACAAACAACTCTCTATTCAATTCTGAAGTCTGACTTTTTTTTCCTACGATATACGCGTTCCTCTACTTACCACATTGCATAACTGAACTCGGCTCTAAAAGTTCCAGAAACAACTTTCTCTGCAATTCCGACGTCGCTGTTTTTTACCTTTTTCCATGATATTCTTAAATCTTGTTCTTTGACCTGCCACATTGTACTACAGAACTCAGCTGAAGTTACAGAAACATCTTTCTCTCTTCAATTCTGACGTCGGAGTTTACTTATTTTTTACGGTATCCTTGTTCCTCCATTTTAAAGCATTGCATTGCTGAGCTCGGCTGTAAAAGTTCCAGGAACAACTTTCTCTGCAATTCTGACGTCGGAGTTTTTATTTTTTATTGTCCACAATATTTTTAAATCTTGTTTTTTTCCCCTGCCACATTGTACTACTGACCTCGGCTGTAAAAATTTCACAAACAACTTTTAAAGTCTTTTCCGGAATGCATTACGATTCTGTTGTCGAGGGTTTTCTTATTGTTTTTGATGTTTTTACACATTATTCTTTTATCAAATGTTTTGATTTTTGAGATCGAAAACATGAATCTGTTACGGTACTCTTCGAACAAACCTCTTGCGAGCTTTTTCTTAGTTTCGAAATTTAAAAATATGATTAAAAAAAAAAGATTTAAGGATATCGTAGACATAAAATAACCCCGACTCCGGAATTGAAGAGCTTTATGAAGGAGGACTTAAAATTTCGTTTCTGAAACTTTTACAGCCGAGTAAAATAGTGAATTTCAGCAGGTGGAGGTTATTTCAAAACATATGAAATTAGCTATTAATTCCCATACTATTTTCAGAGTACTTGAAGTGATATATTTTCATGAGTTATTAGCAGGTGTGAAGTAGATGGGGTATGTGGAAGAATAGTTTCACTCCAAAAAAATTTTTTGTTTATTTTTTCGAATTTTTTTGTTCTTAATTGCGTAAAATTTGTTTATTTCCTTAATGTTTTGTGTGCTACAATTTTTTGTTATTTACAAGTTGATCCAATAGCTTAAAGTTCTATGCGCAGTATCATTTATTGTTACTGTTACACTGCTGCAGGCATATTAGAAACGAAATACGAAAGCCACTCTTCAAGAATCCACATCCTCAATCACTCTTTACTATCTCAGATAACGACGTAAATTCAAAAGAATTTTAATAAATATATCTTTAAAGTTTAAATGGATTAAATATGCTTAGAATATTTCATTTAATAATTTGTTTGTTTTTAATAATTAAAATTTTATTTTATTTTATAAACGTCGTTGAGCAGCAGACCTAATTTTGAGTGTTCGACTACCGATGTTCAACTCCGTAGTCTTGTAATTTTGAACCCAAACCAGAAGGCAAGGGAGCTTCTGGATATTGGGAGAAATTGGCTTTTGGGCTGAGCTTTTTGATGAAACTAACCAGCCCTTGCGTTTCATGGGGAGAAAAAACACGAAATCCTCACTCGGTTAGCTTGAAGGCAAGGAGAATCTAACCAATGATCCGTCTAACACTGAGGATATTTTATGTCACTGTGGTCGGTACAAGCAAAGTGCGGTAATCCCATCGACAAGCCATCGCTGGGATTGGAACCCAGGGTATCTCGATGGGAGGCGAATACTCCATCACTTTACCATTTAATATTTAGCATGGATATACTCAAGGACTCAAATTTGTTTGCTTTTTTCTGGGGGGGGGGAACAAATAAAATAAACACACAATAGTTCTCAAAATATAACTCCAGAAAAAAATTCTCATTAGCTAAATATTTACAAAATGATTAAATTTTAGCTTGTTTTTAAATTGGCTAAATTTATATCGGTGAATATTAATGAAACTTTTTTTATTTCTCTCAAATATTTGAGGGGGGATTGCTTAAGATTTTTAATAATTGAGGGGTGGGGGCGAATATATCGCCTCCGTACGCCCGTGAAATTTTGTAAGAATTGTCACTTTATTTGGTATTAATATTTAGTAAATTAAATGGGTAAAACTTTACTTAAATGTAATTATAATTTACAAAACTTTATATTAAATGTAATTCGAAACAAAATTTTCGATACAACTTTCGCATTTTTTTTCTTTCAAAAATGGAGGGGAAAAAAAAGGCACATAAAACATTAGAATTTTCCACTTTTCCCTTGTAAAGCTTGCAATTATATTCTTTGTTGAAAATTAATAACAGCACTTAGTATTTCTTTTAAAAAATTATACGTAGGGATGATTACAAATGTATCATATCCGCGTTTTTTTCTCTCCACCACTTCTTGAAAATGTGTAACATTTGTAAAAACCCTCTTTCGTCTTTTTTTTTAAAAAATAATAAAAATAATTTGTTTTAAAAAATTTAAGTACACCAAAAAAATTTTTTTACTTACAAAAGTGTTGCTGCCAATAACACAAAGATTGTTTTTGTAAACCTAAAAAATGAATAAAATATAATTAGCTGAAAACGAATTATAAATTTTTTTTCGAACACTTTTTTTAAAGTTTTTCTTTATCGGAAAAGGAATTAGACTGACTCTACCTCCCAAAATATGTGTATATAGAAAACAAAAAACATTTAAATTAGAAAATATTTGGCTAATAATTGCAACAAGTACACATCTTTCGGATTCAGATATATTTATATAAAGTAAATATGAAGTTCTAGTGATTTAAAATTCTAGTATATAAAGTTCTAGTGATAGCTCAGTTTATGTTAATTTGTGTTAAAATAATGCATGTTGTTTTGTAAATTTAATTTTAAGTTATTTTCCACACCACTTCATGCTAATGATTCATACGTTCTTATGAAACGCCACTTACAAGAGAAACTAGGGAAGTGTGACTCGCCAATTTTAAAATAAACTAGTGGGATGTATGCCTTATAAGGAATAATTTTAGGGGGAAACATTCGTTTCGGCCCATAGAAGGTCCTGTGAGAGATAAAAAATAATTCAATATATAGAAAAATCGGTATTTTATTACTTCAATGCAGACTATTAGTTATTGTAATTGTCTCATACTCCAATTAATTTTGTGGTACTTTCACGTACTATATAATGCATATTTATTGTCAAAATTGATTTCGAAAATTTTATATATCTGTAGTTTTTCAGAAAAACCTGTTAGGTTAATTTAAAAAAAAAAATTGACATCAAATTTTTTAAATTTTTTTTTCAAAAAACTTTCCAAATTAATTGGAGTATGTAATTGCAAATCAATTAATTAATTAATAATTAATTAACAATCAATGAATAATTAATCAACAATTAATCAACAATTAATTAATAATTAATTAATTTTTGATTAGTTTATTTATTAGCAAATTAATTCCAAATTAATTGGATTATGAGACAATTACAATAACTAATAGTCTGCATTGAAGTAATAAAATACCGATTTTTCTATATATTGAATTATTTTTTATCTCTCACAGGACCTTCTATGGGCCGAAACGAATGTTGCCCCCTAAAATTATTCCTCATAAGGCATACATCCCACTAGTTTATTTCAAAATTGGCGAGTCACACTTCCCTAGTTTCCCTTGTTAGTTCCAACGCTCCCGAGGTGAGGCTTTTAAATTGTTGGCAAAATTACTAAAATTTGTGGACTCTTTAGATTTTAATTGTCTTCATCAACCTCTTTATAAAATATTTTACAAAAAGCGCAGCATTTAGAGAGCATACCAATACTCCATTTTTAGAACATGTCTTTTAATCAGAAACAAAAAAAACTGGCAAATCATTTATTTTGTTTTCAACATTTATGTTGAATAAACAAGACCTGAGGTATCAACTATCTTTTTTTAATAATACCAAATTGTAGGTAATTTGGTTTTGAACTATTTGAATTTTTTTTTAAACCCGACTGGTAACTAATTGAATAAAATATTCGCATAACTTTATCCCAAATATATTCTATCACTGTTTCTTCACAAAGACGTATTATTACAAAATATTAATTATATGAGTAAATGGTTAAAAATTTAAAATAAACGCCAGCTATCTCCTCATAAACATTTCAAATAATAGCAAAAATTACCAAATATTTGCAAGCTTTCGCATCGAATTTCGGCAAGTTTATTGTTGTTGTAGTTTATTTACGTCGCACTAGAGCTGCACAATAAGCTATTGGCAACGTTCTGGGAAGCATCCCTGAGGATAATCCGAAGACAAGCCATCACAATTTTTATCCTCTGCAGAGGGGATGGCACCCCCGCTTCGGTAGCCCAACGACCTGCACGCGAATCGGCAAGTTTAATTCTCTACATCTGTATGAAAATCTTGCGCAGAAAGCGAAGCAGTTGGTATCCCTAGAATATTATTTACGCTTTTTAAATTTTTGCAAGACCTCGTAAAGTGTTAGCCAGCTGATCATCAAAGCAAGTAGAAATTTACCTAGTTTAGCAATCACTTGTTTAATGCAAAATGTATCTATTGTATGAAATATTTTCTAAGGTATCGAATCATTGTGGTGAATGTTTTATTATAGCTTATTTTAACGCTTTCTGGAGCAACAAATTTTAGCTGAACATTTTAGTGTGCGACTACCAATGTAGCTACTCCACAGCCTTGCAATCCAGAAGACAAGGGAACTCCTGGATCAAGTATCGGTAGAAATTCGCCATCATGAAGAAATTTTTGATGGAACTAATCCGCATTTGTGTTATATAGAGAGGAAAACCTCATACAGTTAGCCTGACTACAAGAAAACTCTAACCTAATATCCGTCTACCACTGAAAATTTTTACGACTGCACTGTGGTCGGTGCGAGCCGGATGCAGAATTCGTATCGAGCAGCTATCGCTGTGATTCGAACCCGGTTCACCTCATTGAAAGGCCAATGCTCTATTCCCTGAGCCACCACGGCTCCACGAAATAACTGTTGTCCCTTCTTGGAGGAAAGGAAATTTCGTCAAAATTAAGGAAATAATTTGTCATTCTATATTTTTTTCTTCAAAAATAGATAGTCGTAGAACCTAGCGTATATAACTTTTCTTGTAATCATTTTATCGTGGACACCATGTAGGTGGATCAATGCTGCCCAAACAACACAAGAAAGATAGATAGAGCAAAGAGATAAATTACACATATGTCTGAAACGGAATTCGAACCCGCGATCTTTCTGGTACGAGGCCAATGCCTTGGCCACTCTATGGCCCAGTTGGCTTGTTTCATAATTTTATTTTCAATCATGTATTCTGCTCTCTAATTTCGGTATTCTAGTTAACAGTCTCCCACAATGCACTGCGACGAGGTTCCGAGTTGAAGAAAAATTTCTGTCATTTATTTGAGAGTTCGCGTTTCGTCACAAATCAATTATTCCGTGACAAAATGATTCTCAAAATTAACGAAATTAGGAACAAGGACAGTGATTCAAGTTATGACGATTCAAGGATTGCTAAATCGTCAAAAGTAAGAGTTTTATTTCTGAGAGTGTAGTGGTAGCCTAAAAACTGTGGAACTGTAGAAGCAAATAGTTTTGCCTTTTTAACATTTCATTATACATTTGAGAATTCACGTTTTATTACAAATCACGTGATTTAGTGACGAAATAATTCTAAAAGTTAACAAAATACAGCTCAAGGATTGCTGAATCGTCAAAAGTGAGTTTTATTTCTGCGAGTGTAGTGGTTGCTAAAACACGGTGGAACTACAGAAGCAAATAGTTGTGAATTTTTAACATTTCATTACATATTTGAGAGTTCGCGTTTTGTCATAAATCAAGGAATTTCGTGACGAAGTGATTCTTAGAATTAACGAAACACAGCTCAAGGATTGCTGAATCGTTACATTTATTTTGGCAAATAAGTGTCCAGTTAAATCTTAATAAGAAATATGTAACTTAGATTTGAAAATATTTGAAATCGAAGTGAAGTTTAAAGAATTTCATGGGAATAAAAAAAATTTCTCTTACATGCATTCTGAGGTTGTTTGGACGTTCCCTTCGATCCTGGTGAAACATTCTGAGAAAGAAGATGCTGAAAATAATATTCTTTAGTTAGTGTTAAAAATCATTTTATGATCAATATGTAATTGCACTTAATTTGGAATAATTTGATAAGTCCTTGGAACATAAAATTATAATTTTAACACAGAAAATTTGACACTTAACGTAAAGTAACCTTGAACTAGAATACTTTGACCTATAAATTCCATAATTTATAGAAAGGCTCGATGTTTGCAGTATGAATATAAGTTTGAATGTTTTGCATTGCAAATTCGATACTTAACACTTGATGCAATGTAAATTTTAACAAGAAAACTTTGCCCTATAAATTCCATATGATGCTAGTAGTGTACAATTTAAATTCAAATTCTTTGCATTGCAAATTTGACGTATAACACTTCACCACAATGTGAACTATAAATAGAAAACTTAGCCCTATAACTTCGTTACTTTATATTAAGACGTGATGTTTGCAATGTAATCTTTAGCTCGAATACATTACAATGTAAATTTGATGTTTCAACAAATAATGAAATGTAAACTTAAGCAAGAATACTTTGCCCTATAAATTCCATACTCTACAATGGCGCGATGTTCACAGTGTAATCTTTAGCTTGAATACGTTGCATTGTAAATTTGATACTCAACAATTGATGCAATGTAAACTTTAACAAGAATACTTTGCCCTATAAATTCCATACTTTACACTAAGGAGCGATATTTACAGTGCAATCCTAATACGAATTCTTTGCATTGCAAATTTGATGTTTAACACTTGAAGCAATGTGAACTTTAATTAGAACTCTTTGCTCCATTAATTCCATACTTTACACAAAGGCGTGATGTTTGCAGCGTAATCTTAATTCGAATTATTTGCATTGTGAATTTGATACTTTAACACATGACGCGATGTAAACTTTAACTCGAAAGTTTTGGTTTATAAATTCCATGCTTAACACTAAGGCGTGATGTTTGCAAGGTAACCCCTAACACGAATTCATGTTACTTCAGCTAGGAAACTTTGCTTTATCAACTCTATAGTTTGCTCTAAGGCGTGATGTTCGCATTGTAAACTTTCATACGAATACTTTGCATTGTAAATTTCATGCATGTACTCGTCATAATGTCTGCAAATTTCAATTCAAATTCTTCATTCTGCTCCCAGCTCGCGCCGACCATTGGGTTAATGTAAAATATTCTCAGTGGTAAACGGACTATGGGTTAGAATTCCCTTGCCATCGGGCTAACCATGGGAGATTTTCCTCTACGTGAAACGCAAATGCGGTGTAGTTTCGCCAAAAAGGTATCTAGTGTCAACCAACGCACAAACATGGATGCCATGATTGCTCTGGTTTGTTTTAGTACTACGTAGTAGAAGAGACACATCACGACGGTTCGGGTATAAGATTGCAACTATAGGGCAGAATTAACAAAATTGCCACTGGTCCGTAGTAACATTTTTATTAGCGGTTACTTTTTAAAACATTCGGCCTTTACAAAAAACTATATTTATTAAAGGAAACATAATAATAAAATGCACACGAGATGCATTTTTAACGAGAAAAATAAAAGTGGCTATTTATTGGCAGACTATTTTTTAATCACCCCTTTGTTATATTCAGTCGCCTGTGGCTGGTGGTGTCCATTAGTTTTACCCTATATTGTGCTGTCATATAAACTTGATTGTTTAAAAATACATCGGAATGAATGGATTAATCTTGCAAAGGGTAGATCAATATTTCATCCTCTCGCTGCACAAATCAATTCACTCCATGATGAATGAAAATGAAATGTCTTGATGAAATTGTCTTTATGAAATGTCTCAAATTTAAGAGGATAATTACGAGAGAAAAACATTTAGCTTAGACATAGCTATTTATAATAAATTTCTCAAATAATAAAAATTAACAGCACTAAACGGCTCATTATTTACTTTAGAATTTAAATTATAATGGTAGTTTTATAAATAAGGTAAACTATTAAATCGCCTTTTCCACACTTTGTTTAGTGGAGTTAATTTGCTCTGTGAACCATCGCCTCCTACATCAGAAAGCCTTCACACGGTATTTTATAAGTAGTCTGCGCAGACTATTTAAAAAGTGAACCAGTTGTGCGCATGGAACCAAATTTTATTTTAAAAGCAATTGATAGAAATTTATCATATATATATTTGAGAACCGAATCTGTAGTGGTTGACAAGTAAATAAGACAAACTAATAATATTCATAAATTAAAAAAAATTTTTTAGACATAAATTCGTTGCCACTTTCTTATTTTTACAAGATTTGTTTATAAAATGGCTCTTTCGTAAACTGCTTTACCTTTCCGCCTGCTGTCCCCCTGATCCCTGCTGGTTCGAGCCCAACTGTGAACTCACTTTTTCCAAATACCATCCAGTGCATAATCTCAGAGAATCCTTCGTGAATCATCGATCAGTGTATCATCGTTCTTAGTGAATCATCGATCAGTGTATCAACCATAGTTTGAAGCAGATGGAAACAGCATCAACAAAACTATAAAATCTAAACTTTCAATATAAACTCTTAATATTTATTTTATTAATTATATAAAAATTTTGCAATAAATTTGCTAATTGATTTAAAATACTCTTATTGATTTGTAATTTCAACCTATAATTTTTAATTTCTTAGGCAAAGTGTTTGAATTTTTGTATAGATACCACAATGATCCTAAACTCAATATGTTTGTAACTCAATGTATTTTATATTTCACGATGTATGGGATAGGAACCGCTGCACGGCCCAGGTACCTAGTTTTATTAAATAAAGAAAGGAAGGAAACTTGCTTTATCTTCATAGTGGTCTGATCGGACTATTTTTAAAAAACCGTGTGGAGGCGTATTATAGGAGGACTTGGGTGAACGGTACTGTTTCCAAAAAACATGAAATTCTAATATAAAAGAATAATTTGTTCAAAAATGTGTGTTTATAGAACATACTTCGTCCTTTGTTGCATTCCCAGGAGCACTTGCTAAGGGTTATCTGGTCAACGACCGATGAGGCGGCTATTTGGGGTGGTGGGCAGTGACGACGGGCCGCTTTGGCTGAGATTCGAGGGAAGATTTCAGATTTTCGGCGGGACAATCGCCGAAGAGGAAGTTCTTCCGGGCGAACAACGACTTGGGGGAGTGAGGGAGATACAGGAGGCACCACCTCGTCAGACGTTCCCGGTTCTTCCTCGCTTGGTGTTGGTTCCTCTTCCGTAGAGTCCTGGAAAAAAAATTTATATCGATCTTGTTTATTTCGCAAATCAAATTTTTAAAATTAGCAATGGACATATTAAAAATGATTATGATAAAGATCAATAATGAAAAGAAAGATGAAGAATTAAAATATTAAATATTATTTATGAAAATAATAAATTTTATAATGGGAATCTCTTTCCCATTATAAAATTTATCAATAACGAAAGTGCTAATTATCAATAACGAAAGTGCTTAAGATTAGATAATATTGAAAATATTAAAAAATAATAATGAAAATTTTAGCAATTATGGAAACGTTAAAAATTAATAATGAAATTATTAAAAAATAATAATTAAAATATTTAAAATTAATGATGAAAATTTTCAAGATTTATAAGGAAAATATGGAAAGAATATAAAATACTAATAAAAAAATGCCTAAAAGTAATATTAAAAATTAGTAATGGAAACATGAAAAATTAATAATGGAATTACAAAAATTAATAATGAAAATATTGTTATGAAAACTAATAATGAAAACAGTTAAAATTAATAATGGAAATGAAATAATTAATAATAAAAATTTTTAAAGTTAATAACGAAAATTTTTAAGTTCAATAATGAAAATATTAAAAATTAACAATGTGAATATATATAGTAATAAAGAATACATTGAATACTAATAAAGAAAAGCTAAAAAAATTGCTAATAACAAAATTAGTAATGGATATATTAAAAATTAATCATAAATTACATCATAAATTAAAAATATGTAATTACTTACTGGGTCAGCCGATTTAAGCCAGACATGGTGCATTAACCTATAGGTAGTGTTCCTTTGCAGCAAAGAACCAAAAACGTACTAAAATAAATAATAAAATATTAACACTGTATTATAAGATAAACACACGTACAGAATTTAAGTAAAATAGTTTTTCCATAAGTCTTACAAATTTGTAATAGTACTCCCTTTGAGGAATTTTTTTTATTTTCAAGATACCGATACAATGTTTAGAGATTTGGCAGCTTAAATTTTTCATACAGAAACATTTCCTTCAAATAATAATAATTATTGGAAGTCCCACGAGTTAAAAAAAAATATTCTGCAATTCAAATATTTAGAGAAGTTACGAGGAAAAATTCGGAGTTGTGTCAAAGAATTTAAAATTTTTATTGCGCTTTCTAAGAAATCAACTTGGCCCTATCGGAACCTCGGAAAATATTCATTCGATTTTTAATTTGTTTTCTAAAAGATTGTAGAATATTAACTGATGATTTTTAAAAGAATGAGTTGTATGTGAAGAAGTTTAAAACATTTTATTAATTCACACTAACAAGTATTTAACTTTATTCTAACAAGTTATTTGTTTTAATCTCTTGTGGAGATTGCTCATTATATTTGAGACACAGAGTTTTATGGTTAAAAATAGCTTTGTTTTTAGTATGTTTGTATCCATATTGTCCAAAAAGATTTTCGATGCTGTTTATAAACAGAGTTGCCCCTCAAATCTAGAAGAAAAAAAAATCGCTGTGCATATTATACACAATATATTAAGAGAAAATACAGAATCACTGTAATCTTGAGTGAGCTATATTAGGAAAGCTATAGTAGACTTAATTGTTGGAAAAACTTAGATAAAGAACAGCTCAACATATTTAAAACAAATAATAAAAAAGTATAGTGGAATAAAATACTGTAATGAATAAAATAGTATATTTAGAGCCTTATTATCATATTTAAATCTCTCATATTAGGGGGACCGGAAAGTGTTGTCGTTTCGTTTCATCTGATATTTGTTATCAAGAATTTATTTTTAATCAATTATGTATTCAACCTCGTTAGCAACAACCTTTCAATGCCGAATCAAAAATGAATCGAAATTGATGGAAAAAAAAATGACTAGGTTTTTAAGACTAACGAATATTTAATGCGCTGAAATGACATTACTTTCCGGTCCCCCTAATAGATTGCGCTTTGAGAAGTCATAGATGAAATTCAAAAGATGTGATTTTTTTAAAAAGTGAAAATACGAAAAAAAAAAATTATTTTGTATTTTCACAATTTGTAAGGAGAAACTCAAATTTCTCTATTATTTTAGATGATTTTTAAATTCCCTGTATTTTCTAGGTTTTTCCTATTCTTCCTGCGGAATAGCAATTCTATTGAACGATGACAAAATTCGTGGAAACAAGTTCGATTCATCTTAATTGTTATCCACTACCACTACTGGGAATACTTTCCTGAAAATTCTACCTTAACTGTTATTTACCTTAATTATTATCCACTACAACAATGAAGAATAATCTGAAAATTATAATCATCTTAATTGTTGTATCTAAGTAAAAATTATATAAAACTGAAGTGTAAATGTTAAAACAAATTCTCATAAGTGTATTGGATTGCTTCAATTTAATTTGAACAAATAAAAGTTTTGAAAATTTCATACCCAATTTCAAATATTTATTTCATGATATGACTACAAAAAGCATTTTTATTGATAATGAACTTTATGAAATAAAAGAAAGGCTGAGAGTATATTAATTCTTAGGTTATTATGATATCTAATTCATTATTATAATAACTATATATTACATTTATATACTACAATTTCTGTTTTTTTTTTCTAGAATTTTTATTTATTATTTTTTGCTTAATTTGTTCTATTTTCGTTTAAATTTTTTTGCTGCTCCTCACACTATTGCAGTGATATATTTTGGTTTGGCTCTATTAATACAATACTAGAAAGCACTTTAGGTGTCGTATATATATATATATATATATATTATTCGTTTTGTAGTTTGACAGTATATAGTTAAAATTTGTGTTGCTAAAGTTGCCAAACTTTTTAATATACTATAAATTTAGTATTCCATGAATTTTCAATGAGTTTATAAATTTCAAACATTGGAATAATTTATGAGTGTGTTGTTTGAAATAATATTGTTATTAGTATCACCATCTTCTTTTCCAGTCATAGTNAATAAATACAAGAAAACACGAAGAAAGTTAAGAAAAACAATAAGTTTCATTTATTGCGCTTAAGTTGCAAGTAAACAGAACTCATTAGATAAGTTCAAAATAAAAATATAACAAAGAAAAATATAGACATAAGTAAAAAAAAAAAGGGGGGGGGGGAATAATAAGTAAAAAAATAACAAACAACAGTTTAAAAAAAAAATGGATGAACATTTATTTAAGAAACCGGGGGAAAAAGATATCTTTTCATCAGCCCACACGATTATATCCGCAAAACAGAGTGCTTTCTGATATTGTATCAATAAAGCCAAAGCAAAATATATTAATACAATAGTGTGAGGAGCACTCAAGAAAATTTTTTTTATAAAAATTGCAACAAATAAAATAGAACACAAAAAGTAAAAATGACATGTAAAAACAGAAAATAAAATAAAAGAAAAAGAAAAAACAGTATAAAAATGGACTATAAAGCGAGTAGCGAAATCAGGTCAACTTACATGGGCCGGAAATTTTTCAAGATTGATTTAAAAATGTTTTCGCAGAAAGATGGCATATTCTATATAACATATTACATTATATTATTGTAATAATCTGCAACTCGTATTGTGATTCTTTAGCTAAGTACTGTGTTTACCCATGCATACTATAGGTTTCTTGAAAAATTAGGACTCACAATTTTCTTTAAATTCCTTTAAAATAAATCTTAATTTGTTCGTCAAATAACTAAAGGGGGACTTTCATTTTTGGTTAAGGTCAATAATAATGGTAATAATTTTAAAAGAAGAAAACCATTGATAACTACCGTCATTTAATAAACAATTTTGATATATATGCATCTTTGTTAGCTTCCACAAGAAAATAAAATAGTGGTAATCATGAATAATTTTCACTTCTCTTGAAAAAAAAGGAAAAAATATTTCTACTACTATTACTTTATATTTTCCAAGTGGTAATCATTATTATATATTTATAAAATTATTATAAATTAGTGGTAGTCATAAATTACTATGCATTTAGAGTAAATTACTATACATTTTCATTCTTTATTCTAATAATTATTATGAAGTAGTGGTAGTAATCAACTTCTTTTGAAATAAAGATAAAAAATTTGTTGCTTCGACTACTATTACTTTATTTAAGATTTTCAAAATGGTTTATAGCATAGATTCTCAACCTTTTTTACGTTGCCGCCCCCCTAAGGATCAGAAAAAATCTCAACGCCCCCCTTTGTGAAAATCCAGTTATTTAGAGCATGGGGAGGGAGGGATGTGTGTTGAATTAAAAGAGGCAACATTTTTAAGGCAAGTAATTGCAATCTATTTGTTTTAATCAAAATAATTACGGTAATGAAAAAATGAAGAGTCATTTATTCTTAATAAAATAGTTAAAAAACTTATTCTAAAAAGTAGTATCAACGAAACAATCAAGATACTATGTCAGTGGGACGATTGTGCTTGGTTCAGGGCCAGTTACTTTACATTCAGTTCAATATTTTCAATGAGGTGAAGACGCAAGTCCCCTCTTTATACAATTTTGAGTAAATTGTTTGTGACTAGATACGTCACATCACTGAATCTTCGTTCCACAAGGTAGAAGGAAAGGCTATTAAATGCTACCTTGAAGTCAAAATTCTGTAAGACGATTACTATTTCAAAGTTGAAAGTTCAAAGTTATTTCAAAGTCAAAGTTGATTCTTTAGTTGAAAGTTCACCAATTCCTTCTGAATCTGAACCTCTGCTGTTTCAATATTTACAAAAGTGTTCGTAACCCAATAAGGGACTTCCAGGGACAAAACATCATTAGAAAGTCAGAAAATTCAATGTGCAAAGACTCAAGATGATTACAATATTCTTGTGTATCATCAGAGAGAATTTCACCATTCTTTATTCCAATAAGATTGGAAATCGGCTAAACTTATTCCTATCAAAATTCTGCTTCCACAAAATGAATTCTTATAGAAAGGCAGAAATAGCTGATTTTGTAGTGATCAAATTGAGCTCGTCACCTTGAAATTGTAAATTAACACCGTTAAATTTTACAAATAAATCAGTCATGTATTCAAGAAACTCAAGCACAGAGTCGAAAATATTCCAAAGCCTATTGAGACAGGCGTTTTCGGAAAGCTAGCGAATCTCAGTGTGTCGTAGCAAGCGATAGAATTTTTCATCGTTTTTCTTGCAAAGCTCTCTGAATAATCAATCGTTGAGAGTATTACTGCGAATTTTCATCACAGCAGAGATCAACATATTGTAATGACTGATGCAAACGGTCTTTGAGATTTTTTCCTACTAAATGCTGTCTGTGAATCATGCAGTGGACAGCTAAAATATCTGGTACTTGGCCATCAATTATGGGAGAAGTTTTCTAGGTATCTTCGTCTTGGGAAGGGTACCTCCCTCTTCAAAATGGGGTTAAACCTACGATGTCAACCAACCATTGCAGTAGCTCCATCAGTGGCAACAGAAACAATATTCGAAAGAGGAATGTTTTTCTCTTTAAAATAATCTTTGACAGTATTAAAAATAGATTTACTTTCGGTATCTTCAATCAGGTTTTTTGTAAAAAGCATCTCTTGAATAATTTTTCATTCCTTCATAAATCGGAAGTACGCCAACAGTAAAGCCTCATTACTTGGCAAGGTTGGCTCATCAACTTGAAGGGAATACGTTGGACATCAAAAGTTTGCATAAGGAAACTTCAATGTCTTCAGCCATCTCATCAATCCGTTGCAACACTGTATCGTTCCGAATCCGAACTTCAAGTACGGTACGTGGCACTGTATTGACGGCACTTTTTTTATTAACCGACATTGTAGGCAGCAGTAAAATACAAACGAGGAAGGAAAATAAACTATATCTTAAAATTAATAGATAATTTACGTTGAAGAACAAATTCGCGCAAGTACTTGGTCAAATAATCAATGAAATTGAATCAAAACTGGGGAAAAAACTGAAAGGGAGCGAACGAAAACCATCATAAGAAACACGGAACAAATCAAACATTCATACTGAAAGCGCATGCACTTCAACTTTCGCCAAATGGCTTGAATAAGTCAGAAGCAAAAACAACTCACTCATGCCCTGCGATAATTCTGATTGGAGAATAGTTGTCACATAAGCTCGTTTTACTGCTGGTACAAATGCAGGGTGGCCACTCAAATCCGATTTCAAATTTCCCTGATTTTTCCAGGTTTTCCAGATAAAAATCATNTTTATTAAATTAATTTTAATTTAATAATTTTATTTAGAAGTTTTAAAAATGAATTTGTAAGCTCATCGCCCACCTACTGCCCAAAACATGCCTACCGCCCCCCTACTGCCCAAAACAAGTTCACCGCCCCTCAGTATATGCTCACCGCCCCTCAGTATATGTCCACCGCCCCCCAGGGGGCGGTATCGCCCCCGTTGAGAATCAGTGGTTTATAGGAACTGGAACTAAATTGATTTTACGCGGCGCCTACACGATAAAGTGCTTATCCCCAAATGGTTAATATTTTCAAAGGGGTTAATATTATAATTATATATTTTTATAATTATTATGAAGTAGTGATAGTCACGAATTGTTTAGTTCTCCATAAATAAAAGTAAAAATGTGTTGTTTCTATAACCATTAATTCATATTTTTCAAAAATTGATAGCCCTAAATCTCATTACTCTATATATATATTTCTCTTACACGGCAACAAAAAAAAAGCCTCATTACAACTCTCCGAATGGCAACGCTAGAAAATCGACCAATGATTGCCGCTAAAAATGTCACATGCCAAATCTAGCTGAGTTGGCTCAACATATAGCGCTTTTAAAAACGGAAACTGAAATAACCTTAAGCTAGGCAGAAGTGAGTAGTCTTTTTCGATAAATCTCTATTTTAGTATTTTGTCCAAAGCGCTTTTTTTCACGAATTTATTTGACGATTTTCGATTTATATCACGAATTTATTTGTTTCATTATTGTTATTAGTTATTCATTGAAAAATGAGTCTCAGTTGTGCTGTTAAGCTTTAAAATTTTATACTATAGCACATTTCCAATAGGTTTAATGAATTACATGTCATTTATTTGAATTCAAATTTATTTTAATGACTTAGTACTTACTAAAAAGATGTACATTTTTTTTAAAGTTGTTATATGGATTTTGCATGATTGTTTTCAATTCTTAGAATTTTGTGTATTTGCAATGTACCTAAGTTAGTAGCGAGCGAAGCGAGCTTGGTTTGCGAAGCAAACCATATAAGATTGCGTAGCAATTTTCGGGGGTTGGCGAGCGTCAGCGAGCAGGGGGCGCAGCCCACTAGTATATTCATATTTCAGTATCGTAATTTATTACTATTCGTTTTCATTATTTATTATTATTATATATTTTTATAATTATTGTAAATAATTTTTATGAATAATAATAATAAATCATACCTTAGAAATAAATCCATAAATCATGCTAACAACAAAAGAAGTAACTGTGCTCTGTGAATTTTGTTTGTTTCTATCAACCTCTTATTACATATTCTCCAACCGAATTACGTATTATTAAAAATTTATCTAGATGTGACCTTGTAGTACTTTTAATATGTGGACGTATCACAAAGAATATGAACTAAATCATATATTTAATATATTTCGTGATTGGTAGATTAGAAATAAGTCGTGTATTATGTATAATCATAAAAATTTCTCCGCTATTGATTAGTATCCCTTACCTTTCCTTCTACAGTGTAGAGTCCAACAGCGTTTGGAATGATTTTTGCCGTCCTCTCTTTTGTAACTTTTATCACATCTGTTACGGGCAGGAGAATCTATAAATTACAAAAACAAATGGAAATAGTGTGCCGCTTTATCTGGATTTAGCAGCAAAATATGAAAATATTGTGCTTTTAAATCAACGTGAGAAATTGAGCGATATGGAGTTGCTAATGATTAACAGTAGTGTAAAAAAATCTAAAACTGTACCTGGGTTTTTCGTCCAAATATGTTTGAATAAAATGCAAAGTAATTTTCTGTGATGTACAAATGGCCTTGTAATAAAATATCAGCAACTAAAGCGCACGAATAATCTAAAAAAAAAAAATTTAAACAATTTAATAAAATGCATTGTTTAAAATATACATGTAAGTTTCCTCCTTTAACCCTTTCATGGGCCTTTTATTTCTAGCTAAGGTAAATTAAAGTACTTTTGGAATTGAAATTGTTAAAAGAATAGTAACTGACATAAGAAAAAAAAAAAAACTCATTCAGTTTATAAAAATGCCATTTCTTTGGTGGTAAGTATATTTAACACGACCTATTAGGAACTTACTGACTTTTATTTTTTGTTATTTATAAAATAAATTTCATAAATACTTCAAACTTCAAAAGGAATTATGTATTTTATAACTTTTATACGTTTTCTGGTTATGTTACCAATTGCCGTTACCGTTAAATGGTTACCAAATTTATTCAAACCCACTTCAAGAAAGCTGAAGTTATTAATAAATGGAAACCTAAATTAAAAGTGGTAAAAAGTTTGCCATCAACTTTAAAAAGTGGTGGTAAGTATACTTACCACGGCCTTCTAAAGGGTTAAATAGAGTTCTTGTGTGCTCCAGAAGATTTTAAAAAGTGATAGTAATTCCAGGGCAGCCATTTTTCTACGCTTTTTGGGAAAATTTCTTCTAGTGGTAAGCTAAATTTAGGTTTTAATGTAGGATTCTTTGTTTTGTAAATTTGATTTAAAGTTATTTTCACATAACTATAGGTAAATGATGCAAAAGTTCATATGAAACGCAACTTTTCGTAGGTCTTGTGGTGCGGTTTCTGAAATGTTGGCAAGATATATGTATATATAATAAATATTCTGAATATTCCAAATATTCTGAAAGCTTCACATTTTAAATGTCTACCCCTATATAAATTATTTAGGTAAAAGTCAATAGTTGTCAGCCCTCTAAATCTAGCATTGAAAAGGATATTTTGTTGTACTTGTAACTACCAGGATATTTTGTTAATTCTAAGTCTATATATCTAGATTCGAAGATGAATTGATAAATTTACTTCTGAAGTGAAAGCTTGTGCTAAATACTTTTCTACTTCCTTATAACAAAATTATTACCACTTCTTATTTTTTCCAGGTGCCGACGAATCCTTCTAAAATAGTAAATTACTTTTATTTTAATTGAAAAAAATTATGATATAAAGAACTTGTATGATTTCTTTATAGATTCGAAGCATTATCAATTTCATTTGAAGAAATAATTATTTAGAGGTGCATTAGACTTGTGATTATTTCCGGGATATTCTCAGTTTTCCTTTCTTCATTAACAAAATTAAGCAAAATATTATTAATTAAATGCCCCTTTTACTACACATTTACACTGTATGAAATGGGATAAAATTTGGACCAAAGGAGGAGGGAAAAAGCACAACAATACAGGAATTTAATATATTCACTTGAATACCTAAGCTATTTACAGAATAAATAATTTTCACGTAGAGCAATGATGACCATAGCAATGAATTCGATTTAAGAAAAATTTCGTTTATCCGAAATAGGTTTATACTTCGGATAATCGAGGTTTGATCGTACTCACAATTGAGGAGATGTTCTTCGGAATTGACTCCAGGGAATCGAACATGAAATCTTCGATTGTGTGAACGAGCTAATCGTGAATGGGGTAGAGGGGATGGGGGTGTCGTCGGTGTAGTGATTGGAGCACTATTTGGCATGCTCCCCTCTCATCACTGCCCATTCAGCATCCTGAAATAAAAATTTACTTTATTAGCTTATTACAATTTCAATAATTAAATTCTGTTATAAGTGGAGCTCTATAAATTATACGAAAATATTTTTAACATTAAGCAAAAAGGATGCTACAAGAAAAAACGTTTTCTTCCTTATCTTAATTTCAGTTTTATAGCTGGAGTTGAACAGCAGACTCAATTGCACACCTTTGTAATTTTAAACCTGACTCAGAAGATAAGGGAACTCCTGAATCAAGCATTGGGGCAAACAGTAGCTTTGAGAGGCGATGGCTCAGGGGATAGAGCGTTCGCCTTCCAATGAGGCGAACCGGGTTCGAATCCCAGTCGATATGAATTCCGCATCCGGCTTACACCGACCTAACGTGAAATATCCTCAGTGGTAGACGGATCATGGGTTAGAGTCCCCTTTACGTCAGGCTAACCATGGGAGGTTTTCCACGAAGGCAAAATTCTCCCACAACTCGATCCAGGAGTTCCCTTGCCTTCTGGATTGGGTTCAAAATTACAAGGTTACGGAGTTGAACATTAGTAGTCATAAGCCCATAAAATTGGGTCGGCTGTTCAACGACGGTTATAAAAAAAAATAATAGTCTTCGTGGAGGACTTTTTGAGGGAAGTAATCCGCATTCACGTTACATGGAGAGGAAAACCACTGAGGCTATTTTACGTCGACACTGTGGTAAGTGCGAGCCGGGAGTAGAATTCGTTCCAACCGGCCACAGCTGGGATTCGAACCTGGTGACTTCATTGGGAGACAATTTTCTATCCCCTGAGTCACCATGACTCCAGAATAACAGTTTATTAAATATTACAATAAGATCCTGCTCAATTAATCTAGAATTGTCAACGATTCTTAGAATTGAAAAAAGTAGCTGAAGTTGGGCGATAAAAAACCAGTAAAGACAAGTTTACATAATAAATGGAAAGATAAAAAGAACACGAGTAAAGAACACTAAAAATACAAAAAAGTAAAAGGAAAATATAAATTAACTCCTAAAATTTTTCTATGATCAGGTTTTTTTTTTTTTTTTTTTGAAACGATACTTTAAAGTATGTTTAGAAAAAAATTGAAGATTAGGAAAAGTTCAAATTGACTCGTCGTCGTGGTTAAAACGCAAATCATATTTATTATAAACCATATTCCTTATCAAATCATATTCATTATAAATTAATGATAGAATGAAATTTTAAATAAATGCTGCGTTGTTTTAAAGAACCAATCTAAAAACTTGTAAGGAAATTGGTTGAATAACTTATGGGGAATTGGAATTTAATTAAAGATTTACATAAACTATTATTAATTGTTATTTTTTGTTATCGTTTACTGCTCACTATCGTTTAATAAAAGATTAACTTTTATTAAATTCTAAGAATTTTAAGTAAAATAATTATTATTTCGATGAATTATTTCTTTTCATTGCACTTGATGTGTACGTCATCCGCTGAAGTGTAAAAAAAAAAAAAAAAAAAAAAAAAAAAACACTCCGCTCAGACCCATAAGGAATAACAACAAAACAAAACAAAAAAAATTAAAAGCATCAAAACATTCGAAATACAAAAACAATTAGAACAAAGAAACATTAAATAGAACAGTAATTCCACGAATTATAGTTTTCAATCGAATAGGGTTTCCATAATTTTTAAATGCATTGTCGGAAGAATGAATTGAAGGTTAAACCAACTTGGCAGGCAAGTGAGTAGTCGGGCTAACTTATCTATCGGGTTAACCGGGCTTCGATCAATCGAGTATCGGGGGGCAAGTGTACCATGGCCCTTTAGATATTCCCATTTATTGAATAGTGGCACACTTTCAAATTAATGATCATTCACCAAACTATATGAACTAAGAGAAAATAATACTTTCCAAGCTTTTTCTAGAACTACAAAAGGAAAGTGCATCTTGAATTAAACCTTTTCCAACTTTACTTGAGCAGAGAGAAAAGCTATGAATAATTCCTGAGGCTATTTTTGACATTTAAAGATTCGACACACTTCCTTCCCTAATCAAAGTGGCCAGAATCATCTCTAAATGCCAAACACTAAACAGGATCCACCCAAAAGTAGAACTTTTCGTTTCCTTTCTCCCATCCCATTAACTTGAACCACTGCCGATCAATATAATCCCCTCTTGTTGTATCTTCCGTCACACGAAAACAATTTTTACCACTTGTAGTTGATTCTCTTTTTTTTTGGAACAGAATAAACTTATAGATCACAGTAATAATCCATTAAATAATACTTTTGGAACAAAGCGTAAATAAAACCAGATGGTACCACCCCTGCTTGCTGTGCTCGACAGCCCCAGGAATTTTTTATTTTTTTTGCAGTTCCTTTGTCATTGTTTCCCAATTCGAAATCGCTTCATTGGATACTTAGATTTTTAAAACACACTTCAAAAAATACGCAAGATATACATTCAGTGAAACCTTTGATTCAATCATTCATATTCAGTGCGGAAATTTTTTTTTAAATGAAACGAAATACCCTGAATAACTTTTGATCTAATGATCGTATTTTCATGTACAGCCCCCCGGAATTTTTTTTTGCAGTTCCTTTGTCACTGTTTCTCAATTCGAAATCGCTTCGTTGGATACTTATTTAAGTCTAGTTAAATATTCATGATTTTTAAAACGAACTTCAAAAAATACGCGAGATATACATTCAGTGAAACCTTTGATTCAATTCTATACATACAGTGCGAAAAAAAAAGAAGAAAAACGAAATACCCTGAACAGTGGCGTGCGCAGAATTTTTTCAAGGGGGGTGTTCATAATTTTCTGAAGCTACTAAAAGAAATTCGAGTATGTAATAAAGTACTATTATTTCCCTAATTTAGACACCTAGACAGTTTTGTCTTTTTATTTAGACAGCATTGTTTAGTTAAATTTTGATTTGATTTTTTAAGTTTAAGAACATAATGTAATATCTTCTCGCATGTAATATCCTTTGAAAAAAGTCCAATGTCATATGGGTGGGAAGTAACATTTTGAGGGCCACTTTCACATTCATCAGATTTCGTTATGCTAGAAACGTTTTCTTCAACGGAAGTATCACATTTCTGTACAACAGAAAAACTTACATTGTATACTCCGTTCCCCCTTTTATATAATTTTTCACCACATCTCCAAAATTCTCGAATTGTCTCAAAGACGACAGAACGTCTAAGATTCCAGAATCATCGCGTAAAGACCTCGCGAATGACAGCCAGTCTCGAAAACTATCGCGACTGGCAGAACAGAAAGGAACCAGTCCATAACAGTA